GAGGCTAAATTTGATTTTTAAAAAAGTTAATTACATGTCACTGGTATGGTTATTCATGAGACTTTATTAAATTTTGTTTTGTTCAATTGTAAAAATTAAAAATGCATGAAAACTTTTGGAAGGGTTTGTCCGGGGGGGGGGGAGGTTAGATACTTCAGACTCTCAGAGGATCAGGCTACTTTGAAACTATTCAAACATTGTTCACTGATGCCATGATTTAAATCATTTAACCTTTTTAGATTTTTTTGGCCTGGATGATTGAGTCTTCATTTACATGTTGCATTTCATTTTGGGGAGAAACTCCTGCAGTCAGTGTGGCAGATTTAGTATATTCCAATGACTCTCTGACTCTATGCCTAACCAAAACAATTTAGATTGAAAACGTTACTTGGATGAATAACGAAATGCCTCAGTTTAATAAATTTTGGTCCACTTGCCCTGTTTTCACCTTTTTAGATACTTTTGGCCTGGATGACTGAGACTTCATTTACATATTGTTCACTGATGGTTCTGGATCAAACGGGTGAAAGGGAACCAATTTTGGTTTTGTAATCAGCAATTTTTTCATAACAGAAGACTGGCAACATTAGACTGGTTGTACTTAGAAGGAGTCTTGATATATAAAGAAATGGGCTGAAAGGAGCAAAGCAAGAATGAGAAGTTAAAGCCATTCTTTTAAAATGGCTTTTTAACCACCGTTTTCCCTCTATATCTTTTCTTTCAATAATTGTAACTAAATCTCCCTTTTTCTTGCACCGTCACCTCTAAATTCAGACTAATATCAAACCAGTGAAATCTTCATTTTTTTGCTAGAAAACAACAACAATAATAATAAAGTTGGAAGGGACCTTGGAGGGCTTCTAGTCCAACCCCCTGCTCAACAGGAAATCCTACACCATTTCAAACAAATGGTTGTCCAGGCTCTTCTTAAAAACTTCCAGTGTTGGAGCATTCACCGCTTCTGGAGACAGGTTGCTCCACTGGTTAATTGTTCTAATTGTCAGGAAGTTTCTCCTTAGTTCTAGGTTGCTTCTCCCCTTGATTAGTTTCCATCCGTTGCTTTTTCTCCTGCCTTCAGGAGCTTTGGGGAATAGCTTGTCTCTCTCTTCTTTGTGGCAGCCCCTGAGATACTGGAACACTGCTATCATGTCCCCCCTCGCCGTCTCTTCGTTAAACTAGTCCAGGGCTTTTCAACCTTTTCACAGATTGTACCACTTTTAGGACATGACAATATTCGAGTACCACCTGTGCTTAGCAAGGTGTCAAAAACTTGATGACTGAAAAAGAAGGGGTAGGATTTTGGGTTTTACTGATTAGATTCATTTGTTGTTATAGAAATGGCTAGTTTATATTATTATGGAAAAGTAAAAAGTTGATGTTAAGGCTTCATTCTACTGATTAAGAACAAACCAGGTTCAGTTTATCTCATGCTTGCATTTAGTGGGGTTGTCCACAGTCAACAGTACAGCAAAACTGTCAAAATGGTGGCTGTGATAGTTGATCAGAGCTCCTCTGTTTTTTATGGGCAACAGCTTTAGCATTTAGGAACAGAGGTAGCTTAGTTGCTTTTCTATTACTACATAATCCTTAAAAGGGCTCTCCTGTAGGGACCCTGCCTTGGTCTAATTCAGACTGGAAACAGAGCAAAGGAAAATATTTTCCCCACACTGCTTTGTCCTATTTTCGCCACTGGAAATGGCTGTTAGCAACACACAAGGAGGGGATACTTTCCTAAGAGCTCACAATTCAAGAATACCAATGTTAACTTGGATTGCCAACAAAGTTCTGTCTGTGACAAAACAGAACACAAAGTTGCTTTGTCCTTTGAACTGGGCCATTTCCAACCAAATTGCCTCTCCCCCACTGTTGCCTCTGCGTGGCTCTCAGCTCACCTCTCTCAGACCTGCACGAGTGTTTGTGTGTTTGTTTGTGAGTGCGTGCGCACACGTACGCACACGGGCATGTAAGTCTCACACCTAGCAGCCCCACGCCCTCAACAGAGACCTTCTGCGATGGCAGGCTGCAAACTAATGAAAGCTGTTTTTTCTTTTTCTCAATGTGCTGCCAATCGCATCGCGCCCTGCCCAACTCAGCCCCCGCCCCCAGTGGAAGGCTGCAAGAAGCTCCCATCGCAGCTTATCTCTCCTGTTTTTTCACTCCCCAAAGTCACAGCATAGGGCTGCAAGGAGACCCCCTCCACACAGAGACACAAACGTGTTCGGGTCTGGGAGAGGCAAACTGAGAGCCACGCAGAGGCCCTTCAGGCACAGAGGCAATGACGAGAGGGGAGAGCTCAAAATGGAACACCTGCTCGGAGCCTCGAGCAGCTTAAAAAAAAAAACTGCAAAGAAGGCAGTCCTTTCCCAGCTCCTTCCTTCCTTCCTTCCTTCCTTCCTTCCTTCCTTCCTTCCTCTGCGCTCAGGAAAGAATGATGGGAGAGGGAGAGATTGCCAGCGCTGCCGCTGGCCATGCTGCCGCTGGCTGTCGCTATCCCACATAGGCAGGGGTGATCCCGGTGAAAGGGAAGCCTGGTGGCTGCGAGGCTAGGTCAGTGAGCGGGTGTGGCACTGATCTGGTGGAGGCCATCAAAGCCGGAACGTGTTCAGCCTTAGATCCACAGGGCAGCTCTGGAGCCAGTGAGCCCCCCCCCCGCCGTCTCTGCTCTGCCACCTGGGACCGGAAAAGGCGGCAAGCACGGGAGAACCAGCATCCTGGGGGAAAGCACTTCTCTTGCCTTTTTTCTTTCTCAGTGGTCAGTAGGGATAGTCAGCAGGGATGCCAGGTGCTCGCCGCCTCTTTGCGTGCGGGGGTGAGGCAGGGTAGCCCCTCGCTGGCCCTTTCCCGCCAAAACCTTTTTATATCCTCTCCTATCTCCCCCCTCCTCCTCTTCTCTTCAGGACACTCCAGCTTCTGAAAGCACCAATCAGCTGGAGCCCGGTGCTGATCCTGGGGCTTCTGCCAAGCCCCGAAAGCCCTGCAGCTCCAGCTGTCTGTCCCTCAGGCTTGTGCAGTGCCAAAGTACCACCGGTGGTACGTGTACCACCAGTTGAAAAGACCTGTTATTGAGAATATTGTATAGTATAAATATACTAAATATCTAGTATACGAGAACAAACATAGAAAGAACATACAAGTTGTTTATGTTTCACTTTTGTATCTTGGATATTTTTTGAAAATAAAACATCTCTATAACTTTTTTTTTATAAATATTTTATTAATTTTCTAGTTTTACATTCAAATACTTAATGAACAACATGTCGTCTGGGTCCATTAGTAATTCAGTGGTATATATTAACTTTTTCAGTCCAGATCCATTATTACACCATCTAATGTTTCCTCTCTTCTGGTGATATCGGTTTTCCAATACTAGGCAAATACAATTCTTATTGTCATTAATAGATATACATTTGAATATCAACATCTTTGTTACAATATTTTTCTAATAATATCGATATCTTTTCTAACCAAAACATATCTTAATTGCATTTGCACGTAATATCCATATGTTCAATCGGTATCCTGTTTTCGCTTTCTTTTTAAATTTTAATTTCCCATCGGTGTTCTCTATTGTTTATAATTTCAAAGTAAGTTATATTTGGGTAACCAAAAGCTTCCAGTATTCAAACCTCTTAGCATTTTCCTGTTTCCCTTCTCATACCAAAATCTAATATTCTAATTACAAATCTTGTCTTTCTAGTTATGATATTTCTATTTCTCACAATTATCTATTCTCCACCATATTCAAACATCTAATTAATAATATAATATCCCACCTAATAGGTCAAAGCCTCTATTTTCTTCAGTCTTACTCTAGCTTTCTTCCTTTGTCAACTAACTTTCCAAGTCAATGCATTTGAAGTAAGTCAATGCATCAAGTAATTCTTCCTCTATTTTTATGTGTATTATTTGGAATAAGAAAAAACATTTGATTAAAGTATTTTTGGAAGAACACTCAGCCCATTGATATTCATTAAACAGCCTCCCTCTTTCTCCAGTTTCCCACAGTTCTCCTAACAGCTCTATCTTCCATTCAATTGGTTCTTCTTCCTTTTCCTCAAATGTGTTCTGAGATCTTGATTAGTAAGATGTCTTTTCCATTTCTGATATTATCGCTACATCTTCTAGTTCTTCAAATGTCTGAGTCTGTCTGCTAGTGCCTTCCTTTAGGTCCTCCATCATTAGATCTGCTTCCTCAAGTTTTCCTTCTATTTTCCGGGTTGCTAGTTTCTTCTTTGTAATCATTTTCTGGGTTTGTAAATTTAGATTAGAAAATTGTTCTTTTATCTCCTTTGTTATTTCTGGCCTCATCACAAGCTAAGGCAATTGTCTCTTATATTGATTTCAACATAGAGAATTTCTTTCTGAGCTTCATCAGTATTTTCTTGGTGGTATGTCAAACTGAAGATTTGGAGACAGGTGTTAGAGATGGTTTTTTACCATTTAAAGCTGAGTATGGGACATCCATTTTATTTTTTTGTAAGTGGCCTTTAGGGTAAAAATTGTTCATCAGTCAAAGATTTATAATCCAAAGTATTCCATCATCTCAAGCAATATGTTTTCCTTCTACAAGGAAATAGTTCCAAAACACAGCTCTGAAAATCAATCAATATTTATGTTCGTAGTTCAGGCAGGCCAATTTCAAAGTAGTTTATTGTCTCTGCCAAATAGGTAAGTAGCCCAAGAGTTTGGTTTTTTTCCCCTTTTCCCAACTGTAGTCTTCAAAAGTGAAAGTTTCCAAGGCCAGAAAGTCTTATCTGAATTTGGGCTTCAAGCCAAATTTCCTTTAAGCATAGTAAAATTGTAGTGCTGTAGTTCGCCACTAGATGTCAATAGCACTGTTTTCCAGCTTTTTAAATCCAAACTTATATTACAAGCTTTTCAAGTCTCTTTTTTTTAAAAAAAAGTCTCAAAATTTCAAAGCCATATATCTGTATTAATTCTAAATTACTCTTGTAATTTTTTCTGTTTTCTCCCAAACAATTAGTTTGCCATTTTTTTTCCCTGAGGGAATGGGGTGGAAATTCCCCTTCCCTCTCTCATCAGGGAGAGTATCACCCAGTTTCATCCTCACTGCAGAAAAGTTGCTCATTGGTGCTTATTTGCTTCAGTTGTCAGCAGCTTCTGACTGGCTACACAAATGTAGCCAGGCTTTCCCCCGCCGGTTTGGAGGGCTTTCACGGATCAAACGGGAGGGCCGCCATCCTCCCGTGATTGAGGGTCCCCTTCTTGTTCGTCGCCTTTTTGGGGCGACTTTTGACTCTTTCCAGGGTTGCGAGCGGGGCGAAATCGAACACGGGAGCCCCGTCTCCCTGTACACGTCCCGCCACAACATCAAACCGGAAGTCTCAAACATCTCCACAACTCTTATCAGAGACTGAAAATTTAAATTGTCTAGAATTCATGCTTTTGATGGATCTTTTGAGCTCAAGTCAATCAAACTGGCTATGGTTTAAAAAGAATCCGTGACAAATTGGTGATAGTGGTAGTAGTTTTCCAATTGTTCCTTCAAACCATTTCTCACACTTCCTTTATTGATGTGGTTTCTCCCGAGTATGGATCATTCTATGACGAGTAAGAGTGCAATTCCTGGCAAAGCTCTTCCCACATTCCATGCATTGATATGGTTTCTCTCCTGTATGGCTTCTCTTGTGGGAATAAAGACTACTGCTACAAATAAAGGTCTTTCCACACTCCGTGCATTCATATGGTCTTTCTTCTGTGTGGCTTCTCTTGTGGGAATTAAGAGTATTGCTACAAGTAAAGGTCTTTCCACACTCCGTGCATTCATATGGTCTTTCTCCTGTATGGATCCTTTTATGGGCGATAAGACCAGAATTCCACCTAAAGCTCTTTCCACATTCCATACATTTATATGGCTTCTCTCCTATGTGGACCCTCTTGTGGGAATTAAGACTAGTGCTACGAATAAAGGTCTTTCCACAGTCCAAACATTTATAAGGTCTTTCTCCTGTGTGATTCCTTTCATGTCTTATAAGAGAGTTATAATAACAGAAGGTCTTTCTACACTCCATGCATTGATATGGCTTCTCCTTTGTATGGATAGGTTTATGGTGAATCAGATTCGTTTTCCTACTAAAGCTCTTTCCACACTCCGTGCACTGATATGGCTTCTCCTTTGTATGGATAGGTTTATGGTGAATCAGAGCTCTTTTCCTACTAAAGCTCTTTCCACACTCCATGCATTGATATGGCTTCTCTCCTGTGTGAATGCTCTTGTGGGAAATAAGACTACTGCTACAAGTAAAGGTCTTTCCAGTCTCCATACATTGATACTGTTTCTCTCTTGTGTGAATCCTCTTATGGGAGGCAAGATTATTACTGTTTCTAAAATCCTTTCCACACTCCGTGCATTGATATGGTTTCTCTTGTGTGTGGACCCTGTTGTGGTAATTAAGACTACTGCTACAAGTAAAGGTCTTTCCACACTCCATGCATTTATAAGGTCTTTCTCCTTTGTGATTCCTCTGATGGATTATGAGAGAGTAATTATAAGAGAAGGTCTTTCCACATTCCATGCACTGATATGGCTTCTCTCCTGTGTGAATCCTCTTATGGGAATTGAGGCTAGTCTTATAAGTAAAGGTCTTTCCACATTCCATGCATTGATACGGCTTCTCTCCTGTGTGGATCTTCTTGTGGCAATTAAGATTACTGATACAATTAAAGGTCTTTCCACACTCCGTGCATTCATAAGGTCTTTCTCCTTTGTGAATCCTTTGATGGATTATAAGAGACTTAGAATAACCACAGGCCTTTCCGCACTCCACGCAATTATATGGCTTCTCTTTTGTGTGCTTCATCTTATGGGTACTAAGATGAGTGGCACAAGTAAAGCTCTTTCCACACTCAATGCATTGATATGGTCTTTCTCTTTTGTGAGTCCTTTCATGACTTCTAAGAGAGCGATTATTACAGAAGGTCTTTCCACACTCCTTGCAGGTATGTGTTTTCTCTTCTAAATGTGTCTTTTTATGTGAAATGAGTTGATCAGATTTATTAAAGCTTTTTCCACACTCCGTACATTTATATGGTTCTTCTCCCATATCAATGCTTGTAGAGTTAGGAAGCTGACTGACCCGAGGAAAGCCTTTTTTAATTCCACTTTGTGATTGCTTCATTTCATCACTCTTTGGTTGCATCTGATCTGCAAACTTCCCTTTTCCCTCTTTTGATTGGCTCACTTGACATTTCTCCTTGCAATTATTATTCTCTTGCCCATTAAAGCCTTGAAAAAAAAGAAAACAAAACTGTAGCAAGAACAGGGGAAAAAATCAAACCTTTTCTTCTGAAATTTAGCCAAAGAACCATCAATATACTTTGGATATTTTATTGGCAAATGTGAAGATTCCAAACTAAGATTTTAAAAAAGACCCATTTTTAACTGGATCTCTACTGATCCTCATATAAAGGGTTTGGATCACATCAAAACAAACCTAAGACACAACCCTGATCTAATCTTAGACTTGGGACTATTCCATGGTGTTCAAGAGAGGCCACAACAACCCTGCATGCAGCCTGTCCCTCACATTCTAGCTAATATCTTCTATGGCATGGAAATGAAAATTTGTATTTATCAGCAGAAAGCATTCTTTTAAAAAACCATTTCCTTTATGTAAAAAGGAAGGTTAGGCAGTTTTCCAATTTTTCTTCCAATAAATTTCATTCTTCCATAAATTCAGTTTGATCAAACGGTTAAGGCACCAGGCTAGAAACTGGGTGACTGGGAGTACTAGTTCTGCCTTAGGCACGAATGCTGGCTGGGTGACTTTGGGCCAGTCTCCCTCAGCTCAACCCAGGTCACAAGGTTCTTGTTGTGGGGAAAACAGCAGGAGGAAGGAATATGGGGGTTGGTCGCCTTCTTTATCATTTATAAAAAAACAAAGTCAAGATATGAATTAATAAGTGATGGTTTTTATCAGAAGTATCGTCTAAGCCCTCCACCCCACGACTTCTCTACTTTTCCGAGCACAGTTCTTACCCAGAGAAGCCAGATTCCTAGAATTCTCCAGCATGACTTCTCCATGAAGCGCTTTTTGGGCAGGGTCCAGCTGAGACCACTCCTCCTTGGAGAAATACACAGCCACCTCCTCAAAAGACACAACATCCTGAAGAAGAAAAGAAATTTCCCTATTAACAGATAATCCAAGAATAATTTGATAGTTTTTTTTCCATTAATACAAGGAAAGAGCTTGTAATAATATATGTCTATGGAGATTCTCAGTCAGGTCATGGTTGTCCCAAAGATGCTTTTCAAAAGGCAAAAAACGGTACATTTCTTTATAATGTAATGTGAAAAAGACCCTGGGAAACAGAAAGAAGAGCCCCAATGCTGACAACAGTCAGGTCAATGAAATCTGATGGTGAAGCAGGAAGGGTGGAGAAAGCATCTCACAAAGGATCCCCCCAGAAGAGAGAGGGTAGACTAAGCTGAGCGTGAATGTTCAATGACCTGATGTCAAATTTATATTGCTTAGAAACAGCAATTTTATACACTGAACTCTAGAACAAAATGAAATCCATCCAACATTCATGGACCTTTTCCGATGTTTCTCCTCCTTACCGGAAGTAGAGGTTCAGCCAATCCTTCAGCTCCACCACAAAGAGGAGGTGACTCTACAAATTCCATGGACAGCTTTCTACTCTCTGTGACACAGAGAAAAATGGGGGAAGCAGATTTGTTAAAGAGAGAGATAGTAATGATGTGCAGCTAAAGAATCAGCTAAATGTTGAAATCTCACATCACACAGAAAGCCCTTCTGTTACCTGGCGTGATGTCCTGACTTGGACCTTTCTGGAAGTTCTCCCTGAACAGCAGCTCTTGAGAGGGTTTGGATGAATCTTCTCCCCCCTTGGGATACTCAGTCGTAGCTTCGAAGGATTTCTGGAGATGATGTGATAGGAGAAACAAAGGAAGAGCACAGAGATAGAAATGAATTATCATACTGCGCCTTCAAACTAATAGACACCAATATCCATTGTTGAAACCCGAAACAGAATGGAAAAATTGCCCCAAATATAACCTCTGGAAGAATAGAACAACTCGCTTTAGGAGTTAATAATTCCAGAAATCTCGGACAGAAAAGAATTAACAAATTCAGAGAGATCCTCTTTAGACCTGTTAAGACTATATTCTCACACCTGGAACTCTTGTATCTTTTCCACATCCGCATTCAGCAAGAAGCCTTCGGCCAAGGCCACCGCCTGGGAACTGGTCTCTGCTCCACACTCCCGCACCCATTTCTCCATCTCTGGTGGAAGGATAGCCAGGAACTGCTCCAGGAGCACCAGGTCCAGCATCTGGGCCTTCGTGTGTCTTTCTGGTTGCAGCCACTGACAGCAAAGGCGGTGAAGCTGACTGCAAACTTCTCGGGGACCCCTCCCCTCCTGAAACTGCACATTTCTGAAGTAACAGTATTGCACCTCTGAACTGTTGGCTTCCTGTTCTTGACTCTTCTGCCCAGGACTTGCCCCATTCTTCCCACAGCTTCCAGAGTGAGCAGCTGAAGGGTCTTTTCCAGCTCCTGCATCTGCTGAGCGTTGTCCCTCCATCTTCTTTCTGGTCTCTAATCCAGCTCCAAAATGGACTGATAGATCTGCACAGGTCTTCCTAATCAGGTCTGTCAAAATTTCCCAAGTCTATTTAGCCCTCTTCCCACACAAGTTACTTAGGACTCCAGGGGAACCAAAAAAGCTTTCCAACTTATGTATCTGAAATGGAAAACAAAAAAAAAATTCCAGAAATACAGAGTGACCAATTTAACCCAAATAAGAATTCTTATGAACCCACCGATATCTAGGAAGAGGGGGGAAATCTTAGCGGGCAGACTGACCGATATGTCTGTGGAAAAATTTTGTAGTAAGCTGGTGGATCGACTTCTATCAAGGACTAAACAGTTTGGATACATACATTTAAAATATGTGTTGATTTCTAATTTCTACTTATTTATTTAAATAATTCTGATGGCTGCTTGCAGCTTAAAAACCAACCTCTGTGCAATCCAGATCATAAACATCTCAGATCACAAACAGTCATTGAGATGACTTTCTAAATTGATTTAATAGGTAAATCAATCAATATTTGAATTTCAAATAAAACTTTAGCCAGCAGAACCCCATTAACCCCCTGGCCCATCTTCTCTCTGGTCTCTAATCCAGGCCCCAAACAGACCAATGGATCTGCATAGGTCTTCCTAATCAAAGAGGTCTGTCAAAATCTCCAAAGGACATTTAGCCCTCTTCCCACACAAGATATTTAAGACTCAGGAGCAATCAGGAAAGATTTCCAACTTATATATCTAAAATGGGAAACAAATTCCAGAAATACAGGTTGACCAACTTAACAACTGACCACATACAAAAACTGAAAGAAGAAATTCTTATCAACCCACCAATATCTGGGAAGGGCAGCAAAATCTTTGTAAGAAGTGACGTATTTCTGTGTGGACAAAAATCTGTAGTAACCTTCTGGATCAACTTTTTTCAAGGACTAAACAGTTTGGATACATAACTTTAAAATATGTTTTTTATTTCTTATTCCTACTCATTTATTCAAATAATTTTGATGGCTGCTTGCAGCATGAAAAGCAATCTTTGAACAATCCAGATCATAAATGTCTCAGGTCACAAATAGCCATTCAGATGAGTGGCTTTCTAAATCGATTTAATAGGTAAATCAATCAATATTTGAACTTCCAGTGTAACTTTAGCCAACAGAACCTCATTAAACTCCTGGCCCAAACTGCTATAGCTACCTGAGAAATCACAATCAACAAACCACCATTCAATGCAAACAGAATAATACCCGAATCAATAAACCAGCTTAACATGATGTTTTCATTCATGCATCTCCTGGAAACAGGTTCCCCACTTTTAGCCTTAATCTAGAATGGCTCCGACCTTTCTGGCGATCCTGATGTTCTTCCTGGAGGCAACGCAGCGCGTCCGGAGCTTTGATTCCTTCTCTGCCTGGCCCGTGCATGCACAGGGGCGGCAGGGGAGCATGGGACCCCGGGCTCTCCCCTTCCCACGACTCCGAACCTGATGAAGTTTTGGTTGTCTCCATGCACGGTCCAGCCCGTGAAAGAAACGTCCCCCCACTTACCGAACGCCGGAGTCAGGTTTTGATCTCCGTCCGTGCAAAGCTCCCTTGCAGCTGTAGGACTCCTGGGAAGGCTTAGCCTAAGGCTCGCAGCGGGGGGGGGGGAAGAGAACTGCAGGAAAGGTGGACGCACTTTCAGCCTTTTCTGCAAAATGCCCCCTCCTCTGTCGACCTGGGGAAAGCGCGCATGCTCAGTTCACTCCTGAAGGGTTGCGGGTGAGGGCTTCCCTGCCTTTCCAAGGCTACCCCGGGAGCCGCCTGGTGGATCCTGCGCGCAACGCTAGATGGACGCTGCAAAGGCGAAGGGAAGATCCTCATGTTCCACGCGGACCTGGGATGATGGGCATTGGAGTGGAAGGAAAGGGTCCCTCTAACACTGCCTGTCTCTAGCTGGCAGCAATTTCTAGATTTTCCCCTTGTAATGTCTAAGAACGATCTGCGATCTTGTGAATATTGAGACAATCTCTGTGGAGGCTCAAAAGAAACAGGAGCCTCTTTTTGAAGCCCAGGTTGTGTCGTGTGGTTGGTGGCAAACACAAGCCTGAAGTGAGGGAAGATAAAGGGGAGTGGCAGAGTCAAAGGATGGGAAAGTGAAGGGGTAGGAAAATTAAGATTTGTATTGATTGTTTTGTTTAGTGAGTTCAATTATTACAGCTGCCTTTTCAAATTCATGCACCTGGGCGGCTAACAGTGGTTGAAAACAGTAAGTGGCAGCAGCAAAAATGAAAATAATCCCGAAGCATCATAAGAAAACAAGTTCCCAAATGGAGAGAAAGCTCAAACTCATGGAAGTTTTTGAAATTTTACCTCCAAACAAGCATCTGTGATGGAGAAATGAATGGTGTCTCATAGATGACTGGAGAAAAGGTGGAATTACAAAATGCAGGACGGCAAACTTTGAGAAGTATGTATACAGTTCAAATTCCATGAGGGAAAAAAGAAAAAATAGCTTCATTTCAGTTTTCAGTAGGGAATACAACTCAGGAAATATGAGTAGGAAGTTTAAAGACAAGGTAAGGCAGGTGTGCTAAAGAAAATACCAATTTTCTTCTAGCCAAAAGAGCTGAAGACTCCCACGATTTGAAAAGATTAGTCTGGATTTGGAGGGGATAGTGGAAGAACAACAAAGAGATTTATCTACATTTAGTGCTTTTTTTGTAAAAAAAAAAAAAAGGTGCCAGAATTCACACACATCATACAACCAGCCTTGCCTACCCTACCCTACAACTACTTTGTAGTTGAAAAAAAAAAACCCCTTCAATTTTTAGTGTATCTAAAAGACTATGATTTTGTTGAAGGTAAGTTAATACTATTAATGTTACCATGCACTGTGTGGCTTTAAATTACAAGAAGGCATTTTATTAATCTTTTGGGACATTTACCACTGGCACAGCCATTTAGTTTAATGAGTGGAAATGTCAGCTTTCTATGTGGAATGAAATTGGCTGAATAAAACAAAATTTGATTGCCTGTAAAAGATTGAATTATTTTTAAGACGTCGTCAAACAAGGTGGAAAAATTTACATTTGGAGTTTATTATGGATATTGACTTGAAACGAATTAAAGGTGTAACTTTGTCAGTGAACGGATTACTTTTAATTTACCTTTAAGTTAAACCCAATTAGATAGATCAGATTAAACCTCATGCTGTAGCTCTATCTTTACATCTGACCAATACATAATTAATATATATTATTATGAATAGTAATATCTCCAAATCACAAGACATGGGCTTGATTCTTATTCTTCCCCTCTGCAGTTGGAATATAAAGTATAAAAATTTAAAAATAAGGTGACCAACTTTTTTACAATGAAAAGGAGGACACAAATAAATTGAAGAAAAAAATATTGTAAATAAAAAAACATTTTATTCATTGCAACAATAATACAGAATTCACTATATGATAAATGCATAATAAAAAACATTTGTAACAATAACATTTTATATTGTAATTATACTCACATGCACGTTCCCCCTGCAACCGCCCCGCCAGCACTGCTGTCCCGCCGTGAAGAGCGGGCCCTGCAGCTCCCAAAGGACTAGCTGTGCTGGCTCTGGCCCCAGACACTTTTCGAGGGAGGACAGAACTCACAAAAGGAGGACTGTCCTAAAGGAGGACAGTTGGTCACCTTATTAAAAAGAGATTTTCGTAGACATCCCAGCCTTCGAACTACCCAAAGGAACCGAAACAGCAAAGTTTCGCTGTTGAGCAAGCTTCCACGCCAGCCGCCTTTCTTTCCTCTCGCTTCGCCTCTTTTTAATCTCGCACCCCGTCTTCTGTAAGGGAAGGCAAAAGGCTCACTCACTCTCTCGTGAAAGATGGCCTCCATGTTTCTGTGCCTCCCACCGCCACTATCGGGTTCCACACCACATGGTCCCACCCAGCCAATCAAGCCACGCTCTGGCTGTGGTGCTCCGGTGCAACATGCCGCCTCCGCTTGCAGCTTGACAATAACAAGGACCCAGTGCTCTTCAACATCTTCATCAATGATTTGGATGAGGGGATAGATGGGGAACTCATCAAATTTGCAAATGACACCAAGCTGGCAGGAATAGCCAACATTCCAGAAAACAGGCTTAAGATATAGAAGGATCTGGACAGACTTGAACACTGGGCGCTATCTAACAAAATGAAATTCAATGGTGAAAAAAGTAAGCTACATTTAGGCAAGAAAAACCAAATGTGCAGGTATAGTATAGGGGGTACCTTGCTCAATAGTAATAACTGTGAGAGGGATCTTGGAGTCCTAGTGGACAATCACTTAAATATGAGCCAGCAGTGTGCTGCAGCTGCCAAAAAAGCCAACACAGTGCTAGGATGCATTAACAGAAGGATAGAATCAAAATCACATTGCTGGTGAAGTATTAATACCACTTTACAATGCCTTGGTAAGGCCACACTTGGAATACTGTGTCCAGTTTTGGTCACCACGATGTAAAAAAGATGTTGAGACTCTAGAAAGAGTACAGAGAAAAGCAACAAAGATGATTAAGAGACTAGAGGCTAAAACATACAAGGAACAGTTTCTGGAATTGGATATGTCTAGTTTAATGAAGAGAAGAATGAGACAGGACATGATAGCAGTGTTCCAATATCTCAGGGGCTGCCCCAAAGAAGAGGGAGTAAAGCTATTTTCCAAAGCGCCTGAAGGCCGGACAAGAAGCAACGGATGGAAATTCACCAAAGAGAGAAGCAACCCGAACTGAGGAGAAACTTCCTGACTGTTAGAACAATTAACCAGTGGAACAACCTGCCTCCAGAGGCGGTGAATGCTACAACACTGGAAGTTTTTAAGAAGAAACTGGACAGCCATTTGTCCGAAATGGTATAGAGTTACCTGCCTGAGCAGGGGGTTGGACTTGATGACCTCCACGGTCCCTTCTAACTTTATTATTATTAAGGGGGGGAATGGATGGAATGAAAGGGTGGGAGATGGTATCCAAGCCACCGTCAGCTTCCAAAGAGACATTGCTGGTGTTTTGAGGACACAGAACAGAAGTCCCAGTGTGGCTGGCTGTTTTCCATAACAATATGAACAGAAATGATTGGTGGACATTATGTACTGTGGGTGGCCCATAGGGAAAAGGGTGGAATTAACTATGCTTGCTTGTGTGCAGGAAACCCAGTGCTGGTTTCCTTTCTTCTGTGCCAGTTGTGGCTTTTTCAGTAAAGTTTTATACACTTGGTGTCAGAATCCAATTATATTTCATCTCTAGTTATCGACTATAGAAAACCCCATTTCTGCCTTCTCTGGATTCTGTCATACGATGAAGGGAAGAGGGTGAACAAAGGGGCTTTATGGCCCTCACTTCCTTCAGTACACTTCAAAGGGACTGGATGTGGATATCACCAAAAGTACTAACCATAACAATGGGGCTATTACCTTTCATGTACTCCTCTCTGAAGTCTCCATCCAGCCGACAGTAAGGAAAAGGGGGTGGGAGTGTAATGCCTGAGACTGTCGCTGGAAGAAGGGGGTGATTGGGTGGGGCTACTGGGGAACCCCTTAAAACCTTGAATGGGAGAGCTTGGACCCCAAGTCCTGTCTAGAACGCCTGCAACCATTTTCTCTTAATAAAGGATGCCTGTTGGAAGAACTATTCCAAGAGTTCTGTCTTCTTAAGATGCAAAGTGGGGGGGGGGGTCCTTACAGCGCCTCTCTTGACCTGTTGAAAGCTTTCATGCTCAGTTCCCTCCTGAAGCAGGGGCGGATGAGTGCTGCCCTGCCTTTCAAACAGCTACCCCAGGAGTCCTGTGGTGGACCCTGCACGCAACGCTAGATGGACGCTGTAAGGGTGTAGGGGAGACCATGTTCCATGTGGTTCTGGGATGATTCGATGAAGGAGAGTCCCTCTAACATTTTCTTTCTCCAGCAGGCAGCAATTTCTCCACTTTTCTTTTTTTTTAGTGTCCAAGAACGATCTGCAATCTTGTGAATATTGAGGTTGTGTGATGTGGTTGTAGGCAAACTCAGCTCTGAAGTCAGGGAAGATAAAAGGGCTGGCAGAGTCACAAAACAGGGAGTGTATGGTTAGGAAAATTAACATTTGTACTGATTTTTTTTATTTAGTGAGTTTAATCATTACAGCTGCCTTTTCAAATTCATGCCTCTGGGCAGCTAACAGTGTTTGAAAACAGCAAGTAGTGGCAGCAAAAATGAGAATAATCCTGAAGAAATTATCTTGCCTGAAAAAAGAGGCATCAAAAGAAAAGAAGTTCCAAAATGGAGAAAAAGCTTAAACTCATGGAAGGTTTAGAAATTTTACCTCAAAACAAGGGGCCATGATGGAGAAATGAATGGGATAATGGTGTCTTTTCAACCGGTGGTACATGTACCACCAATGGTACTTTGCCACCTGGCAGGTGGTACGTGACCATCCTAGAGAAGTGGTAGCAGAGGGGGAGAGGAATGAGCTGAAGCAGCAGCAGTGCTGCACAAGCCTGAGGGAGAGACAGCCGGAGTTGCAGGGCTATCGGGGCTCAGCAGAAGCCTCAGGATCAGTGCCAGGCTCTAGCTCTTCAGTGCTTCCAGGAGCTGGAGGTGCCCTGAAGAGAAAAGGAGGAGGAGGGGGGAAAGAGGAAGCATATAAAAGGAGGTTTTGGAGGGAAAGGGCCAGCGAGCGGCTGCCCCATCCCGTCCCCTGGGCACATGAACAGGAGGTGGCGAGCGCCCAGTATCGCTGCTGACCGTCCCTGCTGATCACTGAGAAAGGAAAAAGGAGAAGCGCTTCCCCTTCCCACTGGATGCCAGGGCTTGCACACTTGTCACCTTCTCCGTGCACCCCCAGGGGGCTAGGCAGAGATGACAGGGGAGGCCCTCACTGGCTTCAGGGCTGCCCCATAGATCTAAGGCTTAGTGTGGTCTGGCTTTGATGGCCCCTGCCAGTAGATGAGTGCCACGCCTGCTTGCTAACCTTGCCTCGCCGCCAGCAGGTTGTCGAGCCCTGTGAGGCCGACGTAGGGAGGCAGGGAGGCCACCCGCTGCTCCCACCACCGATTGACAACCCCTCTCGTGTACTACCGCAGCCGCTGCTATGTTGCTGGTCTCTGCAGTGCTGCCTCGCCCGGGAGGCAAGGGAGCCGGTCACAGTATTGTTGGCCCCTTCCTGGACTCCGCCGGTGCCGCCGCTGCTCAGCTGTCCCTCGCTGATATCATCATTCAGCGCCTCGCCGGGTCGACACTTGCCAGTGGGGAGGAGGCTGTTCGACGCTCTCCGCCTCTCTAAATAGACTTGCTGACAGCCGGCCCGGGTGAGGACAAGCAGCCGGCCTGACAATGGACAGGGCCAGTGTGAGGCTGCACGACCGGACGGCAGGGGGAGGGGCTATGGCCCGGGTTTCTTCCTGCAGACCAGATGGTGGCTTGGAGGGTGGGGTTAGGTCCGGTGAGGGCGGGGCACGTGCGCATGTCTTATGTAAGGCACTGGGAGCAATCCACCCCGAGTGCTGACTTTATTTCGTACGGAGTGCATTAAACTACTGTTTGTCTCTCATTCCTGCTTCCTGGCTATTTTGTGGAGCACCAAGAAAGGATGACCTGACAGTAAGTCAGCATTCGACCTGACACAGGTTTCCCTTTCACTGGGACTGCCCCTGCCTGCATGGGATAGTGATGGCCGGCGGAAGCATGGCCACCGGCAGTTCTAGCAATCTCTCCCACTCCCGTCATCCCTTACTGAGCATGGAGGAAGGAAAGAGAAGCAGGGGAGGAAGGAAGGAAGGAAGGAAGGAAGGAAGGAAGGAAGGAGCAAGCTGGGAAAGGGACTGCCTTCTGAGCGCTTCGCAGGTTCGTTTTTTTTAAACTGTCAGAGTCTTAGGGCAGGAGGCTTCCCATTTTGACCCCTCCCCCTATCGCCTCTGCCTGAAGGACCTCTGCATGGCTCTCAACTTGCCTGTCCCAGACTCATGCATATATTTGTGTGCATGCGTAGGGGGGGGTGTCTCACCTCTTGAAGCCCACTCTGTGACATTGGGGAGGAAAAGAACGGGAGAGGTAAGAGAAGCTGCGATGGGAGCTTCTTGCAGCCTTCCACGGGGCTGGGGGCGGGAGCCAAGGGGGGCAGAGGGCAATGCAATCAGCCACATGTTGAGAAAAAGAAACAAGTACTCCAAAAAACCAGCTTTCATTTGCAGCCTGCCATCACAGAAGGACTCTGTTGAGGGCACAGAGCTGCAAGGGGTGAGAGACGCACACACACCTTGGACGTCCGCCCGCTCACACATATACATGCACACACACATACAATGTAAACTATAGCAAGGCTAGGGCAATGATTAAATATTTTTTTCTGAAATTTAGCAAAAGAATCAATATATTTTGGGTATTTTGTTGGGAAATATGAAGATTCCAAACTAAGATTTTAGCAAAGACATGTTTCCAAGTGGATTCCTACTGATCCTAATATATCAGGATTGAATCCCAATGAACCTATGACAGAACCCTGATCTAATCTTGGTGTGTGAGAGCCAGTTTTTGACCTGGGTTAATTCCATGGTGCCATGAACTGCCAAAGTGCATTGGACACCCCACCAGCTCCTCAACGTCAGTGAAAGAGTCTTCATCTCCAATCTCTGCATTCTCTGATAGCCAAAAGGACTTTCTGGATGGCAATAGCTCCTCACCCCCAACTTGTAATGACACCAAATGATGCCCAAGTGGGCATATTTCTAAGAAAGGAACATTCCTCTCAGGTCACATCCAGGTCTAGTTTATACATGCCAGGAGGTCCTTCATCCATTTTGATCATGGTGTTCTGTCCCAGCCTATGTGAGTCCTTGTTATGCTCACAAGGAGAAACCCCTCTTCCAACAAATAGGCTGGAACCGCAGGAAAAAACCAATCCCCTTTTATTATTCACAGACCTGAGTCAATGTCCAAGGCAAACAAACACAGTTCACAAACTCGATCCTCAACACGAACGGTTGCCTTTGGCCCTCAGCCCTCTTGAAAGTGTGGTAAGGAACTTTTTTAAGCTTAAAATCTGTTGGAACATGAAAGCTGAAATCTTCGTTAAATACAATGCTCTTTGGCATCAGGATATGCCTAATGTATAGCCTCCAGCATGATCAATTGACTTGGGGGCCTTTGAGGCTATGGGGGGGACTATGCCTAAAGAGGTATGAAGGATCAGCAAGCTTATGATGTGCTTTTTTTGGACCGTGCAAGGAAATTGCTCTCCAGTGCTCAGGCTTTACATTTCTTCAGTACCCCCTTCTTATAAGGGACTTTATTCCCTCACAAAACATGTTGTTATCAGAAGGGGGGATACCCAGAAGGTCGTCCTAGTTTATACTCCCTTTTCCACTTCAGATCTCTGTGCATGGAAAGACAGGCTTGGTTCCTATACAGCAGCCCCACATAAATACACGGATCTGGTCCTGTCCATTATCCGTACCTACAACCCCAATTGGGCAGACTTATAGGCCATGATAGATATTTTCCTTACATCAGAAGAGAGACATTTAATAGTGACGGCTGCAAGGAACCTTGCTGAGGAGAGGGTCATTCCATGTCAAGTGGTCTGGGGGTCCCTGCTTGACCATCACGGATTTTGATGAAATTTTGTGTGAACATGCACACATGTCCCCGATGAACATTGGTAAAGTGTTACATTTGCCAGTGCAATGCTTGTGGAGATATAGTCATTTGTTTGACCCCATACCGCAGCCTTCTACAGTATGACTCTGAGATTCCAGCAACTTTGAGACATAATATCTCCGGCAATATTTTGTTGAGAGAAACAAAACTTGGCCATCTTGTACAACTTTTTGTGCTCTATTAAACAAAATAATAAACACATTCTCATGAGCGATCTCCATCTAGATAATTTGGAGCAAAGTTGGCCGAAAATATTGCGGCTCAAAAAAAAGTTTAAAGTTTGGCTTTTTATATCTCTGGAAGGAAAGGTATGATAAACGTGAAACTTTGCGTGTAATAACTTAGCAACACAAGGTTTTCAAATATAAATTTTCATTCTCCTACTGCTTTCCAATAGTTTACAAATTGAGTGTAAATTGACGTTTTTTTGTAAAAACACCAAAATAGGGTATTTTCAGTCTGCTTTTACAAAAAAAGACCTTCTAGAACAGTGGTTCTCAACCTGTGGATCGGGACCCCATTTGGGGTCGAATGACCATTTCACGGGGGTCGCCAAACCATGCTGTCTGCCATTTTTTTCCCTTTTCCCTAGCTGTCCTACTCCCTCTTATTAGTGGCCACACCCACTTGGGGGTCACCACAACATGGGGAACTGTATTATGGGGTCACGGCATTAGAAAGGTTGAGAACTACTGTTCTAGAAACTCTGTTAAATCATTCTCATTAGAAAGAGCATGTTTCAAACCCCCTAAAAAGTAGGGTTGGTTTTTCATCCCTGATGTATAAAGCCCTAAAAATATGGACAAAGTTGAGGACATTGCTATGGCAACTTCATATGTATTCTATTATTTTTTTGTCTTGTTTGTTTTATATAAACATCATTACTACTGTTATATTGCATTGGTCCATGGTGACATTGTCACTACCAGTTCAGGCACTTGAACCAGCAACCCCATTGCCATAGGGGGCATGCCCGATAGCTGTGCAATATCAGCCACGGGTGGGTTTCTTGGTTCAGGATCCCAAGCCTGTAGTTTGGTTTCTTCCTCGAGGTTCCAAAGCCTTGCGTGGGTATCTGTCCGGTTCCCAAGACGATTGGGCAGCTTATCCTAGATTCCCAAGCCTAAAGTGGGTATCTTATATGGTTCCCAAGCAGAAGTCCTTACTGTTCGTATGAACTGCCAAATTCCAACAATCGCTTATTATTGAATTTACGTGCCATGTTCTTTAGTGTCGCTTTTGGGAATTGGAGATCGCTCACAAGAATGTGTTTATTATTTTATTTAATAGAGCACAAAAAGTTGTACAAGATGGCCAAGTTTTGTTTCTCTCAACAAATATTGCCAGAGATATTATGTCTCAAAGTTGCTGGAATCTCAGAGTCATACTGTAGAAGGCTGTGATATGGGGTCAAACAAATGATTATATCTCCGCAAGTATTGCATCGGCAAATGTAACACTTTACCAATGTTCATTTGGGACATGTGTGCATGTTCACACAAAATTTCATCAAAATTCGTGATAGTAAAGCAGGGCACTTTGCTAAAATCAGATCACTTGACATGGAATGACCCGAGAGAAAGACCCCTTTTCCAAAAACTGACCCTAAATGGTCTATTGATAGGTATGACAGCCCACATTAGGAACACTTGAAGGCATTTCAAGATCTAGTTGTCATTGCCTTGCAAACTTAATACTCCAAAACAAAAAAATATAGGATATATATATGATGTCCATCTGACTTCCTTGAACATTTTTATCAGGCCTTTTGGAGGTATAGTGACTTGAATGTGGAAGTCTCAGAAAACCACTGTCTGATGAACATGTTTTTTATCAGCCAGAGCACTTCATATCAGGAGCTAGTTGCAAAAATTGGATGGCGCCTCATCTGATATGATAGAAAACCTCCTGGAGGTAGCAAACAGAGTATATGTGGGTCGATCCAAGACTGAGGCTAAAGGGACCAAGAGAAAGAGTGCAGTATTGCCCTTCTAGCCTAAGCTCTCTAGCAGGCCCATTTAATGGGATGGGGAGGCAGTGGTCTTCGCAGGGCAAGGAGTTGGAGGGTCCCCTAAAGTATTCTTGCCTCTAGTAAGACAATTGACATGCTGAAAGTATCTTGGTAGGTCTTGGCTTATGTTAAGCACCGTTGAAATCTCCTAACACAATAAGGAGCGAATCTGCGTTTCTGTCTTCAGCCCACATAATCAAGTCAGCTAGAGTTTGTAAAGCATTGTTTATTCAAGTTTTGGAGGAATATACATTGCAAATAGAATGAATGAGGAAAACTCTCGTGGAGAATAAAATGGTTTGCAACTGATAATCAACGTCTCTAAGTCCACATCACAGAATTTCTATAGTGAGGTTACATTTTTTACATCATCGGTTGTTGATATAAAAGCAGAGACGCCCTTCCTTTCTTTTTACTGGATGTTTCTGCAATTCTGTCCTCCCTCTGTATCTGAAATCCTGGGAAATGCCAGCTGTTATCAATTGACTCATTTAGCCAGGTTTCAGTGAAGCAGAGGGCGGCTGAGTAGTAAAAATCAGAGTTGCATCCGTTTAAAAGAAGTATTTCATCCATCATTAGCAAAAGAGTGAAGGAAGAGGTTTTTATTCCATTTTTCCTTAGTCTATTCAAAATCTCTGCTCGCTTACCCCTTCTTTGCTGCTGTCTTCTCCTGTTCTTGTTTTTCCAATTTTTAGAGAGAGCTGCCACTTCCTTGATGACAATCTCCTCTGCATTTATAAAAATGGGGGGGGGGAATAGGCACAGAAAGCTGCCCATTAAAAAAACATTGCTTGATTCTTAACAGTTAGTCTCTTGAACATGAAACGCAAAGCGAATCACAAAGAATAATAAAAAACCAAAAAGCTATCAGAGAACATTTTACCAAGATTGCCATAAGAGGCCCATTCTTGAGGGGGAAGAAGAGAGGCCGTACCATTCCTGTATGCAACCCTCCCCTCAGATTCCTGTTAAT